TAGTGCTCTGACCACAACAAGAGCATGATGCATGGTCACACACATGCACAGACTACAGAAATGTACTCATTATATACGTTGGCAGAAATGCTTTCAATAATCCATCAAAATCGGCGCACAGATGTGAGGAGCGAGCTAAGCTCATTTCTTTAACAGATCTGATCTACTGTCAGTCAACAGGACACCGCGGTAAAGCGCAGCACATCCTCCCTGCTGTAATTACATATGTCCGGCTCAGACTACAGCAAATAATGAGCAGCCTGCTTAAAGATTCAGAGTCACTGACACCATTGTCCAACTCAAACGCGCTCAATCAATCACAAACACAGGCGCTCTTCTGACTTCATTTTACAAACACAGAATCTAGACAACAGATAAAGTGAGTTTAAGAGATTTATGCAGGATTCCTTCACATTTTCCATTTCAAAATTCCTCTGACTTATCGTTTTTATACCGTAAATGTGGTTTAGCGTTGCACGATCACCAAATCGCGAAGTACAGTTTGATTTAGATGACTGTTTGCTCCCTTATATGAAATTGCCACTCAAACACCAGCAATAGATTTAATGAGACTTGCTCATGGTAAAGACAAACAGTTTAGAGTAATCAAAATGTGCGCTTAAAATTCATTCAGTCTGATTCTACAATCACTAAACTTTTGCCATGAAAACACACAGCTTGTATGATCAATCTATTTTTAGAAATTCCTCATTTTATTTCATAAAAAGAAATAATTGAAACACATAAAGGTTCTTCGGCACAGTACTAGCTAACCTATTCTTTTAAATAGCAGTTGAGGCGTTTACAGACGACTGCTTTAAATACACCAGCCCCTGCAGCTCTTATTGCTGTTTATTGAAGCTCCATGGAACACTAGAGTTGCTCCCAGAGAGAGATGAAAACACGTGACATCCCTGCAGGAGACGCAGCTGTGTGGGGCAGATCAAACATCACCTCTGCTTTTCACACACCCATATATTTAAAAAGATAAATCGGAATAACTCACTATTACATTCACGCAAAAATGGGCTAAAAGTACAGTATATAACACCAGCTACACATATTAGCTGACAAACGAAACTTGACGACACACTTACAAACACAGGCAAACTATGCACTTACATCAGGTTATACATGACAATCTCCTCATTTCCAGAGATACTTGATGGCTGTATTCACACTGCTGATAAATATGCTAAAATCTCTTCTGAGTGCTTAATCTTGTTCTGTTCACACTGAGTTTGCTTATGACTTTGGCTATTTACAGAAGTGGAAATGGCATTTGATAACCAAATTCACTTCAGAAAAATTGACAAATGCATATTAAATGAACAGAATTAAACTGAACAGCTACTCGCTAATGCATTGATCTCCCTCTCTTTTGGACATCATCGAAGTTTCAGAGCTGCGTGTCTTGACTCTCCACCAAAGTTTCTCCCACCAGCTATAATAGTCTTTAAAGCTTAAAAACCATAAACAAAACACATTGCATATGTTAATTTACCAAAGGTTGACAAATATTAATATTAGGGTTTGAGGAGGGAAAAAATATATATTAAAATAGTATATATATATATATATATATATATATATATATATATACACTATTTTAAAATATTTTTTAAATGCAATTTATTCCTGTGATCAAAGCTACATTTTCAGCATTATTACTTCAGTCTTCAGTGTCACATGATTCTTCAGAAATCATTTTAATATGCTGATTTGCTGCTAAACATATATTTCTTATTATCAATTTTGAAACAGTTGCTGCTTTAATTTGTTTGTGGAAACTTCCTGATAAATAAATGCTGTTCTTATGAACTTTTGATTAAAAATACAACATTATTAACATTTGATCAATTAACACACCTTTGCTAAAGATATTATATTTATAAAATATACATATTTTTCCCCAAAACTTTTGTGTAGTGTACATATTAACAATCATGATAATATTACATTGTGGCTCAGAAATTATAATATCATGATAGAAAATCCCATGTGGCGAGATCCCATCCATACCAGTCTCAAAAAACATAAAAAAAAAAACATTCATGTTTCTAATTCATTTTAGATGATAAATTCATCAACCATCACAAACAGTATGATACTTTAAGGGATTTGAAAGAACTTTTCACTCCCCTAAGTTTTTACTGTCTATTGTGTACTTGGCCAAGAATTATGGCATACATCTCTTACGTTTAATAGTAGCGTCATGGTGGGGGGGGGGAATCCTATCTGTGATTCTTCATAAGCAAAAGCACACAGATTATTTTACCAGCATTCATAAAGTCATGAAATTCGCTATGACATAGTAGACCTTCTAATAGTGCAATAAGCTCTTCAAACTGAATCAAAAATTCCATTTTGCTTTGGCCGTCAGTTCAAAAGAGGCAAAAGTTTTCCCATGGAGTCCAACAAGTTCTGTCTAATGTCTGTAGCCTGTATGCTACTTTTCCACCAATCTAATGAAAGTTTGGTCACCACCGCTCTGACACTGCACTGGAAGCCACAGTCTCGCCTGCCAGTCCAGCACCAACTTCTCACAGATCCTCTGCCCATCTTGCATCAATGCAAACCAAAATGTTTCCCAGGTAACATGCAAAACAAGAGAGTGTTTGTTTAAATATGAAGAGGTCACCTGCATCTGGATCCTATTCATAACCTGAATGAGCCATTAATACAGGGTCTTTTTTTCAGTCTCAACAGTTCCACCCACCAACCAGACTGTGAACACACTGATAAACTGTCACTTACTGGTCAAGTGCAGTTGCTGCCATTCGCACCAGTTACACATGCCAGCACCACCACAGGCCTGTTAAAGACACACATTATCCTTGAAAGTCCATGTGAAAAGCATACGTCAGAAAAAAAATGTAATTGCCATTATTTGTCAGACACTCCCAAGAGGTTACAAAAATGACGCACAAGCATCCGTACTGCTCCGGGACAATCCCCAATGAGTGCAAGAATTATTTAAAATGTTCTCTAGCTGAGTGTTTTTGTGTGCATGTGTTTGTGTTATGATATATTGTGTATAATTTACAGGTATTTTGTATATAAAATATATTTCAATATAATGTTTTATGTAGGCAACACCCAAAATTGTTCAGATTTAGAATGTATTTAAGTTCAGTTAAAAGTATTTGCACAACTGTTTGACAAATAGACAAATTGTTTTTTTTTTTATGAGCAAAATCAACAAAGTGGTGTAAGTGGTCTCTGTAATGTCTAAAGTTCAGGACATAAAATTGGAAGGTTGCCCCACAAAAGATGACCGTGACAACGAGAAAAACACTGAACCTGAGCTTTCTATGTGTGCTTCTTGCTTTACTAAATGGTGGCTTGGATTTGAAAATAAATAGAAATTATAGTTCACTCAGAAATTAAAGGTGCTATATGTATTTTTTAGCGGCCTCTATTGGTGATGTTTCAAATTGCAACCAATTTTTACAAGAGCGCTGGTGCTCTTGCGCATGGTCGAACACAAGAGCGAGCACTCATGGTACACGGCCACACTGAGACTTTCAACACACCGGAGAAAGCATCACACAACATGCTCTAAACTCATGTAAACTCCCACTGCAACGTTACAATAATAGGCTACTTTTATCAGTTTGACGTTGAACTAATGCTCCATGCTCATATGATGATAACGTTACATTTGTGGTGTTATCTAGCATAAGGCATTTCACTAACTATTCGTGCATCTTTCACAATCAGCAATATCAGGTGAATGTATAATATGACAAAACGGTTAGTGAGACTGAGCTATTTCAATGTAACAGTAAGATCGTAGGAAATAACATTACAGTATTGAACGTGTCTGGTAAGCAGGGTGGGGCCAAGAGCCATGAGGATCTCCTCTGTGAGGATCAAGATCAGTGTGGTGTGCAGGTGACACTCATTAGTACTCACACCTCCGGCCCCACTCCGTTCCCACAGCTCTTGGCCCCGCCCTGCTTACCACACAAGTCTTCTGAAGTCATTCAATACTTTTGTGTGATCAACTGACCAAAAACTAGTCATTATTCATTGAAAAACATGTAAACATTTGAGTCAGTTCATTCGAAATCGAGATTCAAATCAGTTTGATTCAATCGTTAGCATCATTAGCCAACTATGGTAAAAAGTTCCATCGTTATCAACATAGTTCAATGATTCTGTGCTTCTAGAAGCAAACAGCATCACAAATTACAGCATATTTACAAGCATAGTTTCTTGTTAGTATGACTTTTGAGCAAAATAATGCTATGTTCATTATTTACAGCAATAATATGACTTTATTTACAGCAATAATATGACTTTAATTTAATGTCAAAGTAATTTACGTGCAGAAGCTTTTAACCCAGCAGCTCTGTGACACCATAATCAACAATTCTATATTGTTAAACCAACATGATGGCACGTGCGACAAAGTTATTGCGGGAAACATTCGTGACTTGCTAGTTTATTTATCCAATGCAATGCACCGTACTATGATAGTTATACCAACGAGTTATGCTATTTTATGGGAAACACACACCAGATTGCTCCGTGAACTGGATCAGCTGATTCAATTAAAAGATCCGACTCAAAATTGGTTGTTCATTTTCAGTGAATAATGACTTATTTCCAGACTTCTGAAGTCATATGTCTGACACAGAGGAACCATAAGAGTCAGTCAATATGTCATTATAGACTGTTTTGTGGTACTTTTATGAAATCTTTTTGTAAATTTTGAGCTTGACAGACCCAAAATTGGCTTATTTTGTGTTTGACAAAATCATACAGGTTTGGAAATTACATGAAGAGGAGTAAATGGCGACATAATATTCATTTCTGGGTAAACTATATGGCTTTAACAAAAAAAACAACAACACCTCTTTAAAAGAGAAATGCCACAAGAAATGACAAGCTAGGGCCTCTGAGTCAAATGCTAACTCAGGGCGCATTACCATCAGAGCTGTTTACGCCAGCATGGAGGAAAGCATCGGAGGATTCACTCCCCTGGGTCTTACCTTGACTGCCACTGCTGCTGAGAGAGTGTTGAGGAGTGGAAGCCGAGCTGACGCTTGCCGTGGGCAGCTCTCCTTTATTCAATTGTTTGACCCTCTTGAGGTGAGATTTGCCATTGTAGTGGACCTGGGCCTGCGTGGCGGAGTGCAGCTGGATGTTGCAGACTTCGCAAAGCGAGTAGAGCAGCTTCTTCTTCTCCTGATGTAGATGCATGTCCGCGTTGATAATGCTAGGCTCCTTTACCTCCATGCGGCCTGCGATGGCGAAGCACAGCTGTCCATTTTCTATGAGCTGGGTGGGGCTCAAGGGGGTCTTCATACCTGCGGGAGAGCAAAAGGATGAGGGTTAGAAGCATGGGAAGTGTTTAATCCAAACCAGGACTGGCGATGACTCACCTTCTGAATTCAACATCACCCCACACAGAGCTTTTTGAACACCAGGTGAGGAGAGTTTACATCCTAAAACCACCAAGGTAGAGAAGCGGGAACGTGTGTGTGTGTGTGGATGTCTGGAGCGCTTGTGTGGGCTACATGGGTGGCTGAATGTTCTCTTCTCGCTGAGCTCTGACTCCTCCCCTTGGTATTCTCAAGCCAAGCTTCCCCACTTGTGGAGCGGGCACAGAGCTACGTACTGACCCATCTGTTGCCTTTACGAAGACACCCGACTCGCATACCTCATGCCCACGGGTCTTACACAACCAACATGGATGGGAGGAAGCAAGTCGGCCTAGGGGGGCATGATCAGCTAGGAGGGGATTTGTATGTCAGCGGAAGAAGACGCCAAAACCCCTATTGTGTGTCTGGTGGTCTGCAAGAGTGAATAAATTACATAAAGCCTCCCCATGAGCCATGACCTCTTGAGCTCTACAATTAAATGGCTGGTGTAATGGATAGCTTCAAAAAAGGGAATGATGAGTTCTGGGAAACGGTGATCTTTTTAATCCGAAAATTGCAAAAACTTAATTTCTGGTCAGTTTGCACTAAAGCCACGGCTGCAGGGTTGATAGAGGATAAAGGAGCATAAAGATACCATTTGAGTCAACTGCTGCACTTTCGAGAGCCTGCTGAGGATTAAATATCCATCGCTGTGCTCATGTACAGGTGTTTACATGTGAGAGAATAGACGTATGATTTTCCTGAAGTAAAAAAAAAAAAAAAAAAAAATGATTTCCCTTTTCATTTGAGGGTGAAATGACCCAGACACGTATGTAGTTTAAAGGCTGCACACGTCGAGCATGTTTCGGTCCCTGTCTAGTAATCCTCCTGACACTGTCTGAGTAATCTCTGTGGGCCAGCTGCACACTATAATCCCTGCAGATAAACTTCCTCTAACTTCCCCTGCCTCTCGGGCCATTCAGCTCTCCTCCATTCCTTAACACTTTCTCAGGAATCTATTGTATTCAGAGAAAGAAAAACTGTAAGTGGAAATCCCTGATGTTAATCACTTTCTTTCAATGTTGTGAATCTATTTCTCTAACTCCTAGCTATTACTTAAGCTTGAGCTTTGCTCTACTTTGCGGTGGAAATGAGGCCAGTGAGATGAAAAAAAAACGAAGCTGCAGTGATTTTGGTGACCTGTATACGCAGGCAGGATTTCCAGATATGTGGTGCGGTCCGTGCCCTGGGGTTTGGAGGAAGTAAACCGACTGTGATGCTCAGTTCGTGGCTGTTCACATCACATCTGTTGGTTTTAGCGATCGACTAATCAACCAGCCAGGGTCCTCTACTTTTCCCCAGTGGCATCTCCAACACTCCTTACATAATAGAGCTATGAAATATATAATCTATCTATCTATCTATCTATCTATCTATCTATCTATCTATCTATCTATCTATCTATCTATCTATCTATCTATCTATCTATCTATCTTTTAAATTCTGCATTTCTGCAAACCATTAGAAGGAACTGATAATATCTCTACATTAAGATAAAGTTTGATATAAATATTATATAATTAATAATAATATTTAACATTATGTATTTATATAAACACATATTACACACACATACATTTTATGTATTTATTCCAATTCAGAGCAGTATATATCTGCAGTATCTATGAGTAGCTAGAGTCCATTCATTAACTGAAGGCACTTCAAAGTGTGACACGATACGACAGAATTGGTGCTCCCAGTCTAGACAGCTTCGCTGATTATAATGGGAACAATCTAGTTTTTTGCAATGCACTGCACTAACTGAATGAATGTGCACAGGAAAAACTCATCTAAAAAAAAAAAAAAAAAAAAAAAAAAAAAAAAAAAAAAAAAAAAAGAGTACAAATCAGAGTGAAGTGTGAAAAAAACAGAAAAGTGAGAAAATATATCTGCTCTGTTGAGAGATGCTAATATCCAATAGAGGCAAGTCTGTGGTTCAACAGTGAACCAGGAATCAGCACAAAACACATGTCTCGAGTATAATGGTTTGTGGCCCTTGGCAAAGAGCTTGTATGGGTGACCTCTGTGTGGGCAGGTGCTGATGAATACACTGCAGGCCATATTTAAGAGCCACAGAAGGTAAATGTTAATGCTTTGGCACTCTTAGCTTCTATAACAGTTTGGGCTTAATTACCAGCTTTACCCAGATATTGAGTTCTATGCCAGGTTGTTGTGGGAGTTGAACAAAAATAGCAACATTAACTAAAAACCACTGTGCATTTAGAGACCGAGAGAGAGAGAGAGAGATGATAGAAAATAGAGACGGAAGGAGAAAAATGGAGATGAATATGAAATTACACCTATCTATATGGGAGCATCTAGTTCAGTAGACATGGCCCTGATCAGGGAGTTGGTCATTTTAAGGGATTTCATATAGTCTCAAAATGCACTAGAACGTCCGTTAGCCAATCAGAAACCCTCTGTCTTTGCAGGCTGGGATAACTATATTTAATTGATTGTTTAATCATTGAATTCTTCCAAATTATTTGTCTGTGGAACCTTAAAAAGTAATGCCACAACTTCTAGAAAAAAAAACAATCCTATACAATAGTAATATGCTTTAATCAGCGATTACTTCTATTTATACACACCACTAATGGCAAAGTCCGAAAACATTCCGAAAATATACAATTTAGAACATTCCGAATATATTCAAGACCTAGAAGCTACAGAAAGATTGAGATTTGATTTTAACAGATATTTTGCATAATTGAAGAGTTCAGATGCAAAAGCCTCTAAGTGCCATTTGAAATTTTCTTCTAAAATGATCATTTTTATCAAGCTTGTATATTTAAGTTCAGTAATTTCACTTAAATGGCAATGAAGATTACCTATTAATTGTCATTTAAGTGAAATTACTGAACTTAAATATACAAGCTTGATGAAAACGGTCATTTTAGAAGAAAATTTCAAATGGCATTTAGAGGCGTTTGCATCTGAACTCTTCAATTATAAATGGTTTAATGAATAAAAAACGATTCTTAAATTAATAAAAATGTAATTGATATACATAATGGAGATTACGTTTTCAATATTATTTATTGCTTAATCATTAAAGTTGAAAAAGATCTGCATATCCATTATTGAACATAACATTTGTCTTTAAATCACACAGACACAACTACAACGAAACCTGTTCACATTGAGCCAGGTTAGGACACGGTATAAATGATAGAAAGCACATCAGAAAAGTAAGGAATTACTTCAAAGCTCTCTTTGGGATCGTAAAGACGGAGAGATGCTCGTGTCACACCCGGTCAGCCGTGCCTATTTCAAACTTATGGCCCATTACAAAACCCACAGCTAGAAATCTCACAGATGGAAAGGTCGCTAACGTGTTTCTGCAGGCCAATTCCGCGCTAATGCCTTTCACTGGAAGCTCTTAGCAGAAACACAGAAAAAAGAAAACGAATGTGAAAGTTTTCCACTCCGTGTGCGTCTGTCACACGCAGGGAGGGCTTGGCACGCACGTGCGCAACATCTGGACAGGAAGAGCTCTGTTAATGGACGGTCGGCAGCTTACAGCAGTGTCAGGTGAGAACTGGAGAGTCTCAATCGCTAAGCTGTTCACAGATGTCCTCAATGTGCCTTTGACCGGAGCATGTGGATATTATATTTACACCAATCCACTATAGCAGTTTTATGCAACTGAACTGAAAACACTTGCGCTGATAAGACTGTGGGCTGAGCAGACATATGTCGGACATATGTGTCTGACCTTGTGGCATGATTCAATGTTGATTCCCTTTAAAGCTGACAGAACAGACATACAGGCGGTGGAGCATCGGATTGGTTGTGTTGATAGGGGTCTTTGACAATGCTGAAGTCTGTGGAAATACAAGAGGAAAATCTGCCTACCAAGGGGTCTGATATCACTGCACCTGCTCCGCCGTTGCGTTCCCGATGAGTGACCTCTCAGATTCAGCACTGCACACAGACAAACTAACTATGAGGATAGGAACATTTCCAGCTACATTATCCATCTCAGCTTCACTGAAAGAACTCAATAAAGCAGAACATTCATAATTAACCTCTATATGGATGTTTCTACCCAAAACTTGTTGTAATGAGAGGCCTTTTTATTTTAGTACTTTCAATTTTTGAACTTGGTATGGGTACTTTCAACTTCCCTAATTCCCTAAAAACAGACAACAAGACAAACTAGCCAAGAGAAAATAAAATAGGTTATCGCATGGACACACTCTCTCAGACAGACTATAAATAACGGTGATGAGACATGACTGTATTTACCACTCAGTCATTACCAAAAAGATCCATGAAGAAAAAAGGCTGATAAAAGGCAGAGGAGGGAGAGTGACAAGGGAATTGAAGAAAAGATGTAAAAAAAGGAGTGAGGAGATTGAGATGAAAAGATGGCAAGTGAGATGGAGATCAGAAGAGGGATATATTGAGAATAAGAAACAGAATTAGAGAAAGAGAGAATCACTTATGAAAGGCCCATATATGTCTGCACATCTATTTCCAGGTCTACAATATCATTCAAAGGTTTGGGGTTGGTAAGATTTCATTTTTATTCATATTTAAATAAATAAATAAATAGTTGTATTAGCAAAGATGCATTAAATAGATGACCCATTCTCATCCTAGAGGCGTCATATAGTTACGCTTTTGACAATGTGTATACTTCCAACGCACATGGCACCCTTTAGCATCAATACAACACGCTTTGGTTATGGGTAGGTTTAGGTCTGGGGTAGGGTTAGGGTTAGACCACTAGGAGGCGCCTTCTGGCCCATATTTATCTGCATCTCATATTGACGCTAAAGGGTGCCATGTGTGTTGGATGTATACGCATTGTCAAACGCGTCAGTACATGACGCCTTGACGCCTATATGACGCCTCTTTAGCATCAAACATTAGAACATTACAATGGTTTCAAAATGATCATATGATCAATGACACTACGGTCTGTTTTCAGCCTTGTCATCACAGGAATTAAATACATTTTAATATATTACAATAGAAAACTGTTATTTTAAATTGTAATCATCTTTTTTTTTAATTTATTATTACATTTTACTGCATCTATCATCAAATAAATGCAGTCTTGGATATGGATGGGAAC